CATTTAAAGCACACACCATATTTTGCTTGGGTCCAGTTTACCCCTGCACAGACATTAAGCATAACATAAAACCCATCTTCAGGAGGATTTGGACACTTGTCTTTTTTCTCATATAGAGTCAAGCGTTTCTCATTACCAAAAAAAAAAAAAAAACCAAAGGAAGAGAATGTATTTAACACTTGCAATTCCAAAAGTGTTTCTTATAAGAGAATAATAATAGTTCTACTACTAATTACTACTAATTAGTTCTACTACTAATTACTACTAATAAGTAGTAATATAGCGCAGATTACTACTCCCCAACAGGTCACAACAGTTATATGAAACTGAATATTATATTGCAACATAGAAAAGGGAGGGGAAAAAAACCTCTTCATTTTTAAAAAAGCTTTAAGATCAAGCATTGTCTCAAGACAGAAATAAGTTACCAAAGGTGGGGTTTTTGCTGTTGTTTGTTTTTTGGAACATGGATCTTGTGATTTGCTATGAGAATGTTTGCCAAAACAGCTGAGCAGAAGAATGAAGAGGACATGACATTTGTCCTGGCTGCAGGAAACTACTAACCTGGATGAAGATCTCTGCACACACCACTTCACTCTTGGCAACTGCCAGCCAGGGCACTTGGTGCTTTCCTGGGGTGTTACCTCTCAGCCATGCAGCTGAAGTCGTCAACTCCTTGGTCGCAACAAAGAGCTGTGAGGAACAGAGAGAAGCAGGCACACTCACTGCTAAAGAATAGGAACTATGGTATTATTTTTATGATTTACATATACAGTTTAAATAAAAGAGTACAATATATGCAGAATATAAAACTTTTTAAGCTACCAAATATATCCAGAGTAAAACAGTGCAAGAAAAGCACAAATATTAATTTTAAAAAACGCATTTTTAACAGAAAATTGAACAAATTAGGAACATTAACTTATAGTCTTGCTGAGTAAAGGTAGTTTTCTTTCCAAAATAGCTTTCCCTTAAGTCAGCCAGCCTGTGTTTCCTTTTCATCCATTGTCATCTCTTGTTACTTAGAACATCACATAAACTACTCTTGATTTCACTGTGGAGTTAAGAGAACAAGATCCCATTTCAGAAGGTGCTTAGTAATTGAAAAGTTTCAGTGTGTTGACTTGCTTAAAGGTAGATGCCTGCTCTGATGTGCTGCTGTGTCAGGATTGCACTTTCGTGAAAGGAAAACTTCTAGAAGTTAGAGATGGCTGCCCTGGGTTTGCAACTTGGAAAATGAGGTTAAACATTAAGGCCTCCTTAAGCACGCACTCTTTAGCATTTCTTGGCTCCTTGCTCGTTGTGAAGCCAAAGCAGAGTTTAAATCTATTGATAGAGTCATCTGTCTAATAATAGGGCATTAAGACACCCACCTGTAATAAAAGAGACCCAATTCCAATGTCCTGATTTTCTGTTTTGTTGTTGTTACTGTTGTTGCATGTCCTAACCACTAAACTACAGAGTCACTGAAATCTACACTTTTCCATGCAAGCTGCTCTTTCACCCTCATACAATCCTCTAACTGCACTATTAGTAACAAACACACTGCTCTACGCCCTAACACCTCATTAACACACTGTAGGAAAGTTCCCTGCCCTGAACCAGAAACGGGAGACCTGAAGACAGGTCCTCATAGCTGTCCAGACCCACTGCTCTGAATTTTCTCTGCAGGTAAAACCTGAACAGTTAAAGATTTATCAGAAATAATGCAATGCCATAGAACGCTGTGGTCACGATCAATCAACTCATTCTAAAGCAGAAATTTTCTGCCAATTTTTCTTTTTAATTCACTTTTATAATCATCCTTGCATAGTTCTGCAACTACCAGTAAAACATGGTTTCCTGATGCTCTCTGGCAGACGGGATGATGGAGAACAGGCTCTCGGCAGTATGAAACTGGTGGGCAGGAACACGGTCTGTTGAGTTCCTTAGGTGTCAGATGGGAAGAGAAGGTGAGGCTCTGCATACTGAACATGTGCTGATTAGTCAGCCTTTGGCTACAGATAAGGCACTACTGCAGCCCCAATTTCTCTAGTAGCAAGCATGAGGTAACACAGAAGATAAGAAACCTGTCCCTGACTGTGGGTTGCTATCGATTTGTGAGTTCTGATAGGTGAACTTTACAGAAGCTGGAGGTCTTGCTTGGCATGGGGCACCAAACGGTACATTTGAGGAGCTGCCAAAGGATTCTCGCCTACTTGAATGCACAATACCAGTTTAAGTGTGATGGCAAAGCACTGAAAAATTACCTTCAAATTACAGATGCCTTTGGAAAGAACGCATTGTATAGTAAATATGCTTTCTACCCCCGCCCCAAAATAGTGGGTTTCAGAGCGAGGCAACAGCAGTCATTCATAAATTTCAAATTTTACAGCTTTGGAATTACAAGGTGAAGATATTGCTTGTATTCTCTAAGCCAGTTCAGTACTATGAGACTTCTATCTGTAATGCTACAATTTGTCTTGTGACAGTGTACAGAGGTCAGAACCAAATCCCTTATTACACAACCCAAACATAGAAGACTGTTCCCCCACTAAGGAACACTCACAGCCAAGGTGTAGCCCCTGCTATTTCAGTTTTAGCACTTTGGAGGGACCCTTCAGAAAGCGGTCTGTGGTCACCGCACACCTTCAGAGTGCTTACCTCACAGTTTTCCAACACATTAACTCCAGCAAATAGATGATTAATATATCGGCAAAGTAGTTGTCTACCTTCTCTCTCTAGTACCAAATGAAGGACATTCATTTCCTTTTCCAGACTGGTTTTACAGAGATGTCAGACTAGAGAATCTAACCTCAACTGTTCCATATTGTCATTTTAATTAAAGCTATATCCTATACAATGCTATATGCTGCTGAAGCCCTGATAAGATCCTATTATCAGAAAGGAGCAAATTCGTGATGCTATCTGGGCCAGCCCATGATTAGCTGCCAGAACAAAAGGAATGTTATTAAAGTAAACTCTGTTAGATCACTGGGAGGATGGAGTGAAACCCCTTATCTCACTGGGGTCACACCTGCACTTCCTGCCGTGTGAAGGCTGGGGAAGAGAAGGAAAACAGGGCACAGGCAGGAGGCGCTGACTCCTGCTGGGCTAGGGAAGTTTTCTTTCTTTCTTGCAGTTTCTTACCAAGACCACCACTAGCTACAACATCAATTAATTCCTGGGAGATGATAGTTTCTTGGGTACATTTTCACATATCTCATTAAAAAGCAGACTGACTAGAGGTGCTTTTCTAAATACAGCCATTAATTTTCAGGACTCATTCCTCAATGACATAAGGAAGAAAGAGCCGTAACATCTCTCTTATCTTTAAGGTTTAATAAGCTCCTGTGAAGAAAAAGCAGGGGGGAGGGAATATCCTTACCTTGACTTCATTCTTTCAGCTCTGTCTCAGTCAGATAGCACGTCAGCCCTCCTTGAGGTGGATACTGGTCTTCAGGCAGCCAGAAGAAACATTCAGCAATCCCAGACTGAGCAGAGAGCTATGTCACATCTTCAGATTCTTTCTGTTACAGGCTCCAAAAGCAGCCTTTTGTTTTTCAGATGTGTGCATGTGCTGTATTTCTGTTCTTCCTAGCAAATGCAGAGCAAGCTTGAAGGCCTGTCCCACTCCAGAAATCACACTCAGCATCTTAGGGCTTACTTGACAGCTTCAGATTGACAAGTACTGAATCACAAGGGGGGGGGGGCGGAAAAAAAACCCACAAACACAGCCAGACTACATTCCTGATCTTTAACTGCTCTGTTACTACAAGGGAGGCAAAAACAGCTCTTTCTTCTGCTGCCTAAGCTAGTCCTCCTCTGCTGGAGAACAGCTTAATCTAACTTGGCAATGGTGTCATCCAGAGTTCGGAGAGCTCATCACAAACACCTGAAGATGATTTGGTCTTATTAACTCCCACGTCTATGCTCTGCTATAAGCATCTTTAAGTTAAACCCCATCAGGTGGTTTATAACACACAGCTGGCTATTCTTAAGTATCAAAATGGGTGCAAAAGACATGGCCCTTAACCCAGCTCAGGTGGAGCACAGTAGTTCACTGTGTAGTTACTGCATATCCTATCTCTGCTTATCCTAAGTAACAGGCATAAAATCCCTTTTCTGGGAATATAGCACCTCCTCTTACGATTATGGGAACTATAGGGCCGTTAAATTAGTAATAAAAGTGTAGTAAAAGTAATGTCTTCAGACTTGTAAATAAGTTTTAAACCAAAGTTGTGAGAGAATATAGCTTCTTGGTCAAATGAAAGGTTTAAGGTATCAATAGTTTCTCTAAAATGCAGAGTTTTATCTCTCCAAAAATTCATGAAAGAGGAATCAAAGGATTTGGCAGCTGATAAAAGGATGCTCACAATAAACTAAGGAATAGTAGCGGGTATATTATATAAATTCATCAGAACCTCATGAATTGGTCTTTTTTAGAGAAATAGTTTCATCTTTCTCATCCATATGTATTTTTATAGGATAATGAATACAGCTGTAACTTAGAAGGGGTCTTGGTTCCATCTGAAATGTATTCTCACAGTATTGTGATTTGCACACTATGGAGCTAAATGGATCCTCATTGCTGCCCTGTCTGATGGAGTTCTATCCATTTGCTTTGTAGCAGCTCCACCTATCGATGCAGGGAAGGCAGATGTGCAACGCTGCCTCGGGAGACTAGGCCAAGCACAGTGCAGCCCTGAGAGGCAGACACGGGCAGAGCCCAAGAACGGAGCTCCTGGGCTTGTGCTAAAGCAGGCTGCAGTGCAGCAGCAGGGCCTGACCAAGACTGCTTGTGCATGCGGGAGGAAGGGGATTCCTGCCACCAACAGCTGCTTCAAACGAACAAACTCCTCCAGCCTTCTTTTTCTAGTGGACCTGTGCTTCATTTCCTGCTAAGACTCTTGTGTTTTATGGGCATTGGTTTTTTTTAGGTTGTTTGTGGGGATAGAAAGTAGCTCCAGATTAACAAATTGTGTTGTAGAATATTTCTGCAATGAGCAGTACCAACCTCCGCACTCCTACATATGGAGAAAGAAGAATATTGCTCATGCTTGGCTCCAAAAACTCCACAGATCACCTTCAGTTCAGAAAAGATTTTTACAAAATACATGGTTTCCTGAAACAGAAGATTGGAAAAATGCAGACAGATCAAATGCAATTGCATACATTATAATTTAGTCAGGATGTTCAGAATAATACGCCCTTTTTCAAAAAATACCAAGGGACCTTAGCAACTTTATACCATCTGCTTGTGCTGTTCCAGTTGGCATGTGCGCACCTGGCTTGGAAAGTTAGGAGAGAGAAGGATTAACGTGTGTATCAGTAATAACATCTATAGAGAATTACACTACAGAAAACGGAAATAGTTAACAGAGAGGAAAAGACAGCAGGATTTCCCCAACTGATGAATAACTGAAGTTTATTAGAAGTGCTGGAATACAGACAAAAAAAAAGGTAAAGTAAAAGGCACATCCATGAACATAGTTTCATTGTATACACAGTGGAAAGAATCGCTCACCAACCAACATCTTTGAAGAAAGAAAAGAGAATGCAAGGAAAAAGAATAGAATTTTGTTTAGAAATTATTTAAAAGACACTCTATCCACAGAAAGCAAAATATTCAAGATGGATTTTAAATATGTCTGCAGAAAATTTGAGTATCTCCAATGACTGAAAGGATTTCCAAAAATTTAGAGATGTAAGTTGCAGTATTTTTTTCTTATTGGCAATAACTCAGCAGAAAAGCTGCACTCAGTCATGGCAGAGTTCTTGAGATACATGTTGTTTACCACAATATGGTTGTGGGTTGACTTTTAATTGCCTTTTATGCCACTTCTCCTTTGACATATGTGATTTTAGATTCTCCTGAACATGTGAAGCACTCCACAACACGACGTCTTGAGTTTCCCATAATGACTGGCAAAGCTGCTTACAAAATATTTGCATAAACAAAAGTCTAATTATGTCTAAAAAGGCAAGCCTTTAAAGAAGAGAAAAAAAGCTATAAGAGTGATTAACAATGCTAAACAGTATCAATAGCCAGCGTTCAGAAAAACACGGGTGAGATAGTTGCACTAGATATTGTCGTCACCACAATCAGGAGTTGAGAAGCTGGAACAGATGTTCTGAAAAAGGATCACTTTTATCCACCAATTTAAATGAAACTCTCTCTCTAGAGGAAAATTCACTAACTCACTTAGGCTTCCTGTACCAGTTGGCTATTTAGTGAAGGAGATGACATCCAATTCTCATGGAATCCATCTTGTGACTGCTAAGGCAGCTCAATAGAAGTAGCTGAAAAGGGTGTGACAGTTTAAAAGACAAAACAAAGACCCTTATCCTCAAGCTGGGAATAAATAATATCAAAACCCTGGATTGATTTCTGTCAGAGACCATATTAATTCTGTCTGTTACCGCATCTCAAAATAGCCTAGCCTTCTGGCACTCTAACAACACAGGAGATGAAGTGTGCCTTGCTCATTCACGCTCCCAGCAAGCACCATGTGTTTCATTTAAGATTCTTAAACGAAACAATAAGCCCTTCACTAAATGTAGTTATCCTTGTAAGTTGAGAGTGCACAGATACTAAGCAGGGTTAGACACAGCCATGTGGTGAGCACCATGCTTATGTCAGGGTAAATCAGAGGAGGCTCCACTGATTTCCATGAACTAAATACTCATTTGCTATTTCCCTGTAAAACTAACAAACATAAATGCCAACACATTCACAAAACAGAAAACTGCCAACAGTGTTAGGTTAATGCAAGACAGGAGAAATTCCTCTCCTAGGCATCAGTTCAGCTTCCCCAAAGCTTTGGCATTTCAGGTAAGATCTGTGGCAGTTTCCCCTGGACAGTCAAAGACGCAAGAGGAGTGGCTGAATAGGAACGCTGTGATTTCAGCATCCCTTACTGACCTCATTACAGTTCAGATTTCACCTGGGTAAGTATTGCTGTGTTTTCTCTGAGAATCAATACAGGCATAACTGCAAACACCTAAAGCCAGTAGTCATTCCAGCCTAAGTGGCATGGCTCACCAACAAATTATGTTAATAGGGTTGAGTTTGAAAGGCAGGTGAGTTATTTTTTTGACTATTTTGACTAGTACTTTGACTTTTTTTGACAATTTTTGACATATAATCAACAGCCATGTGCTCAGCCCTAGTAACATTCCCTCCTGCTCATAGCTGAGGTATGTTGGCAGGATTAGTCAGGAATTTTGGACAGAGAGGGAAGCCAAGGGATTTGTAGCACTGGTACTTGCTCTGGGTTTTCAGCAGAGATAAAGAGCCTACGCTTTTCAGAGCTGCCTATTTGGAGTCATTAACTATGCCTGATTTCCTGCAGACATTTTCCAAAACAAAATGAGATGATATATATTTCCCTATCATGATGGAGTGTCAATACAGTAAAGTTCCATGAGGCAGCTTTTGATAGCAGACAAGCTTATTCATAAATTTTCAGTAGCTACTATCAGAATTAAAAACAGTGTGCAATAATTTCAGAGAGGCATGACAGTCTGGATTTTTTTTCTGCATAGTATAAAGCAAAAGAGCCATAGGAGATGCTTCTGACATCAGCGGGCATTTTAATTACCATAAGTGTCTGTGCCATATTAAAAAATATTATATGAGAACATTAGTGCTTAACAGTCTGCAAAAGACATTTTTCCTGAGGTTTTATAATTCTGGATTATGAAATAAAACTATTGTAGGAGGTAACATGCAGTAAACCTACCAAGTTATCTATAGATCATATGGAGAGAGTGATGGGCCAAGAATCTATTTCTCATACATTGCGAGCAGTTCTATTGACCAAAAGGTAAATTCTTCACAGAAAGCAAGCAAGCTATTTCTTCTTGGGATGTTCAGCATGTTTCAGCTTATCATTTTTTAGCTCTGTCAAATGAATCCCCTACCGACAAATAGTCTGTCGTTACTGGGACACAGTCAGAGGATGCTGCAACTCTCTCCTAGTTCAAGCACCCAGTGGCTCCTTCCTTTGCAGCAAGGTGCAGGGAAGGGCAGGTATCCACAGTAAGAGAGAGACTCTTGAAGAGTGTCTCTGGAGAGCAGAACTACCATAAAATTGACTTAGAAATCTCTCATTTTAATTGAACAGACAAGAAGAATTCGAACTTCACTATGAAAAAACATCTGAAAAGATCAAGCACTGAAAAAGCCTTAGTGATCATATCCATTTAACAAGCAAAACCAACAAATAGTTAGAATACACACCAAAGAATATACCTCAGGTTGGACAATCTACCTATTACAGAACACAGGAATTTTATAGTTAAATTCCTTTTGGCTTGTACAGCTTTGCATCTATAACTTACAAAACCCCTGAAAGAACATAAAGTTAAAATTTTAATGGCTTTTCAGCAGAACCTCTTTGAATTTTGTATTAGATCTCAATTTAGCCTCGGGTAAAGCCTTCAGAAAAAGAAATCTGATGCTTAAAAATGTAATAATCATAGAAGCACCTTCCAAAGTCAGCATCAAATAGAATCAAATATATTTTATTAATGATACAATTCACAAAATTACTAGTCCTGCCACTCTCTGCCCGCAAGAGATGCTTCTTCCTCTGCTGTATTATATTGCATACACATTAGCCAGTGGTGTTTGTTCTGTATGATTTAACCTCCAGATTGCCTTGGATGCTTCAGGAAGGGCCACTCCAGTCGGGGACCTCTGCTGCAGAGGCAGCACCAGACTGTTCTTCACTAAGCCAGCTTAGTCTAGACTGACACAGAGCGAAAGTCTAGCTCTAAAAACAGAGCTCGGACAGGAACTTTGGGTTTCAGCTGCAGCTGTTGACGCAAACAGCAGCAAAGTGCACCAGCTACTGGACAGAGTCTAGTCAAATGGTGATCATGAAATTAATAACTTTCTGGAACCAGCGTGAGCTGCTGCAAGAACACATGCAGGAGCACAGCTGGAAGAGACAGAGCTTTTCTGAGGGAGCAAGCACTCTCCTTGAGGCTTTTATACTGACAATATGACTGAAACTCCTAAATTTATTCATATTCACTACAAAGCAACTAATAAACAAAACACCACTTACCCATCAAATTTCATTTTTCAAGATGAAAAATACAGAAATACAAAAAACAAACACCAGGCCAAATCCTTGCCCTACTAAGATCACAGATTAAGCCTAGTTCAATAAAAATTAAATCAAGATTATGTTGAGTATTTTATTACTAAGGCATCTGTAAACCCTAAACAGATCCAGAGCCTGCTATTGCACGCAGAGATATCAATTGAGAATCAAAGATCTTACATTTGTATTATACAATCCATGATTTTTTTTCTCATTTAACATTTTCAAGCACGTTCTGTGTGCAAGATAAGAGGCACTAATGGGGTATAAATGCTTATAAATATTCAACTAGACAGATGAGCAGGTCTTTGCCAGATCAGGGCCACTTGTAAAAGATTTTCAAATTCTATAGGTTGAATTTTATGTAACAAAATGGAAATCAATGTATCTTTTAGAATAATACAACCAAAATAAACGTTCTGCTGGTTAAATAGCTAACATAATAATAATTTGGGTAAAAATACTATTTATTATTCCAAAAAGAGCAGGGTTTTGCAGAAGATATTTCCTTTTTGGTCACTGAATTTGATGGCCATCAAGCACTTGCCATCAAACACTATGTTTTGCGTGCAAATTGCCATAATCCTCATCCACACACTTCTTAGAAATGACTTTTACAAGTTCTTTTTCTTTCCTGAAAGCTGCTCCGATTTTCACACTTAATTCATTTCTCTATTAAAAAAGATTTCACACACTCAAGTGTTGAATTGTGTTGCTATTTAAATAGGAGACGACCTAAATGTGGCGTGTAAGGCATTGACTATTCATTAGCTGCCACGATCCACCATTATACAATGTCACTTTGAGTGAGTTTTTTCCCCTCTTCTTTTAAAGAAAAGGGAAAGAGACGCCAGCTTGAAGAAACTGAAGCAATTCCATTCTGCAAGAATGACTCCACTCAAATGGAAGTACAGTTAAAGAACTGTAACTGGAAAATAGCTTACATAAATATGTGGGTGGGCAGGTACAACTCCGGATTTCAAAGAAAATGCTAAGAGACAGGGGAACAAAGAGACTGGCAGAGGAAACCGCTGACTTGTGTCCAGCAAAAGCAGCTTAACTCTCCTCCATCACTTTTAAATCTGTAACAGTTTCCCAAACCTAGGTACAATCAGGACTAATTTATGACCCTAACACTTTCTATACAAGATATTTGCAGGGTCATATTTCCATAGTATCTTTAATGTATTTATCTTCACAATACTAGTAAGGGATAGAAATGCCAGTATCACTCAGATTCCCAGCCACAGACTGGGTATTTCTCACAGGTAGAACAGGGAATCTACAGCACAACACAGTGTTGACACTGGGTCTTCAAAGTGCCAGGTTCCAGCATATCTGTGGGACTAGAAAGGAGAAAAGAGCAAACAAAGGGTCAAGTAGAGCCACAGAGAAGGGTTCTCACCATGTTAACCAAGACTTGACATTAATGGAAAAGCTGTGAAAAAAAAAAGGGGTTGACTTTGCATTCTTTGTCAACTGAATTACACTGCTCACACATTACAGTAAGATATAATCCAGTGAGCATGTCCACCCTGCAGCCCACTTGTTATCATCTGTTTTGTGCTATCTTCAGATACCAAATGGTGAGTAAAAAATATTTTGTACTGGTTCATATGGTTATGATTCTCCAGCCCTCTTCCTTTTCCTTTAATGAAACATTTTGAGCAATGGTTAAAAATAGAAAACGTTAAAAAATATATCTTTGGCTGGCTGACATGATCAGAAGTAAATGATTCAGGGCAGAGATTTCACACAGATTTTTTCCCCAACTCCCTTAAAGGTCAGTGACTATAGTCTCTTACTCCTGGACAAACAAAGTGTGCTTCACTTAGGTATTTATAAAACACCCATCCATTTGAGAGTGTTTGCTGCTAGAGAGAATTTAAGTGGGAGAAGGTAAGCTCTTTTGAGATTCAAGTTATCTTTTGTTTCTGAGTTTGTAGTGAGGTTGGTGAGGGAAGAAACTATTAGACAGTAACAAGAACTGTAATAACACCATCAAGATTTAATGAATATCTGAAGACAACAAATCTTGGATCCGCACCTGAGCCAGAATAATATATTATGAACAATACACAGAAGCACAGATCAACACAATAAATACTCTCTTCTTGCTAGCTATTCTTCTACATTCCCTTTCTCTCCAAACCTAGAGAATCAGCACAGTGGTTGCAGTCCAAGCTGCAAGAGTAAGGTGATGTAGCCATGTTGATAAATAGGGGCACACCTGTGCATAAGATCAACTGCTACATCTATCACCATGGTTTCAATAAGGGACACAGCTTTTCACCTATTATTTTCATTTCTGAGATACAAAATGAAGATGCTGTTCAGCTAATCCTTATAATGTCTTGGAGAAGAGATATGTTTTTGTCACTTTCTTACACTGATAAGACTTATATCAAGGTTGTGGGGGAAGGAATTGCAATTTTTCAATTTAAGAGACTGCTCATATCAGCCAGAGTCTTGCTTAAACAAATCCCCTGTGAAACAAGAGATAAGGTGCAATCTATTAGGATATTAAATAGAAAACTTGTTTCCTTTGGTATATGAACCAAATAAAAATATTTATATTTCTCCTAGTATTCTCTGGTAATTACTTACTAACTAGTGCAATTAATAATATTTTCAGTCAATTAGGCTGAAACAAATATTTGCTTTGGCCTGCCCTTAACACTGATGATGAGTTGACAGAGACGTCTCAAGCATTATCCCTAGTGAATTTACTCCATCTTCAAATCCTAGTAAGTTGCTGTCACTGTCTGTCAGGCTTGAGTCCTGCCTACATTAACGGAAATGCACAGAAGCACTTCACAGTGTAGAGCTGCAGTATGCACACTGCTTTACCCACATAAAAGCTCTTTTTGTATCAGCATATTATATCTTCATGGGAGCTTTTCTATTCTCTTGCAAATTACATTAAAAAAGAAGGGCAAATACTTCTAATTGAGCTGGAAATTTTAATGTTACAGCTTGCTTCATCCAAGAGAGTTTGTCCTCCCCTGTCAAGGTAAACAAGGTGATTACACTGGAACAGAGAGTAAAATTAGACGGTCCTCTTCCCAACTTTACTTCTTATTTGATGCGATTCAGGGGAGCCTCAAAAGCATAATTCAAAAAATACTTCACAGAATTAAGGGAATAAATTTGAGAAAGCTCAAAATTAATAGAGAATTCTGAACTCTACTGAAAGCTACTGAAATACTCATGTTTCTTCATTGTCATCAGCAGTAAAGAAGTCACCTGTATGCTTTATATTGGCTGGGGACAGTGAAATTATTACAGCTTCTTTCTGAAGCATCTGGCATTGTCTGCTGTCAGGGACTAGACACTGAAGCACACAAATCATCGTTCCGTTTCATTCTGCTATTTCCTTTTATAGCACACAGCTTCTCAGTAATAGTCTGGCTCTTCCATTTGAGTCTGAAATGAGAGCCTTCAAAGCACTGAAGTGTGTCAGAGAATTGCTGAAGTGGACGGAAGAAACCAAGTATAGGTCCCTTCTTAAGGCACAGATGGGGCAAGAAGACGCGCAAATTCAAGTACTTCTCTTGAATGGACTATTTTATTCCAGTCTCCTGATCAAAGGATATGCATACATGTTAGTGGTCTAAGGTCTATGTGACCTCAAGGAAAGCGAAAGATCTAAGCATTGCAGCTAAAGTTCCACAGTGATTACATGCTGATTAGTTTGCAAACCTGTTGGAAGAACCCTTAGGTAAAAGGGTCAAAGTTTCACTGAACACTTACAGAAGACTAACTAGAAAAAAACCCCAACCTATTACATAAGTATAATTCACTTGTATTCACAGGTCTAGTGTAAGGCTTAAACACCACTGAAAATGCAGTTCCGCCTTTAAAATAAACACCTTTAGAAAGCCTTGTTGCACACATGGTATAGAAGGCTGAAATGTTATCATCTTACTGTAAGTTCAAGAACTGTAAGAATCCCATTGACTGCCCAACTTCTCTTCTCTCTCACAAATCTAATCAAGCTTAACTAGCCTAATCAGGCTTAACTAATGCCTGATGAAATGCAGTTGCATGTAATTTTATTCTCATTCCACACTTCTACACTAGGTACGAAGACACCGAAATGGGAATGATTTGATACTCAGAGTTCATTCATTACTGGGAAGTGAAGGAGGAAATTTAGGGTTGTTTCTCTAACATCATTCTGACATTTTTTAAAAGAAAAGTAAGAAGTACTGAAGGGATGTATGAAAAGTGAAATGCTAGGGGCAATTTTTTCATTACCCCATTGCCTTCCAAACGCAAGGGGCTCAGCATGCATAACCTCCATTTCCAGTGAAATGGAACTGCTTTATCTTTATTACCTTATTACATTAGCTCCCTAGCAGATACCCACCGTGACCTTTAGCAGCCTGATAATCCATGCCATGAAAGACACACCATCCATCAGGTACCTGTTAAATGCTGCTGATCTAGCAAACGGGAATACAGAGAAGCAGCCTCCATGCAGACAGCACTGGTGAAACAGCTGAACATTCTGGGAAATGTCTCGCTACCAAGTCGTTCCACATGTGTCCAATACTGTGGGAAGGGACAGTACATTTACAGAATACATTAATGCTGTCTCTGAGTGATTATGAAGAGCAAAGACTCTCCTGATAAATGACCACATGCACTGCATTACAAACACATGGGGCTACAGTATTGGCATGGGTAGGTTTATTAGTATCTGCTCTAAACTCTTGATAAGCTGGTTTCCCTTTTGGAGACTTTCACTTCCAATTTTACAAATGAAATCTGTCACAGCTACTACAGTGTTGTTTTTATTTACTTATTTTTCTTTTCCTAACTAGTCAGAATAAGCTGCTTTCCACAATCCCAGGAGAAATCCCTCCAAAAGTAATGACCTTGTTAAAGGTTCACTCACGGCTGTAAAGTGTCACACAAGGTACTTCAAGGTAGTAGAACTAGACGGAAAATGTGTCTCTACATTATTACTTAGGAAGAAAAAAAAAAAAAAAACTAGCAGTAGGTCCGTCAACTCCATGCATTTAAATGTCATTCTTGTCCATTTCTTGGCATTTTATGTCAGGTCAAATATAACAGGGACTCTTCTAATGTGAGCTAATGGAGCTGCTTCTGGAACTAAATACTGGTTTTCCCAGGAATAATGTGTAAACATAGCCATTTTTGTTGAAAAATCCTCAGGATTAAGGTGTTACTTTATTTTTATATTGCTAGTCACATCTCAGGGGACTCATCTCAGCTACTTTCACTGTAATTATTAGTTTTTCAAAGTAACGACCCAATGAAATACAGACAAGCAAACATCTATTCCAACACCCACAAACATATACCTGACAAAGAGCTTTCTGGTGTGCGAGCACTCACCCATATCTGTCTCCAGGCATACATGCACTGCTGTCTTTACAATGGGGTAATAAAAAAAACTGAATTGAATGGGATCACTAAGAACTTTATGGATTTTTTTTAAGAGTTTGACTTTTATCCTAGAAGCATTCTATACAAATCTTCTTGTTTATATCTTCATTGTGGAAAATGAAAGCACAGTTAAGCAAATAAGGGACAGGGGAAGGAAAGGAAGGACAGAAAAGCAAATCTTTACTCTGTTGACAGTCATTGGACTGTTAATACTATAGATACTCACACAATCTAGGTGGTAAGTAACTACAGATCCAAACATCATTACACGTTGAAAACCTTTAGATTAAGAACTTTGTTACTTGTACTACCCTCCACAGTTGACAGAATTGAAGTTAGGTAGTAATTAAATTCCTCAGCATTGCATGTAAGTGTAATGTGTTAATAAAAAAGTAATTGCACCTTCATTGTTTCAGCAGGTTTGGCTTAATTACATGGCAGTTATATTTCTCTCTATACTTATTCACTCTCAGTGAGGGCTCTCCTTACCATCTGCTGATATTTAATTAATATATGCTAAATGTCCTACTATATTATTAAATCTCATTTAGAAGTGTCCTTACTATCACAGTATAGGGCTGCCTATACTAAGGAAGAATGAGCAGTGACATTGCCTTGTATTTAAATAATTTAGGTAAAAGAAGGCTCATTAATGGAAGAGAGGTGTTATCTTCCCCTCTAGAAATGAGCAAAAGGGGACGACGATTATTCCAGAAACGTAATGAGAATCTGGAGATTTCCCAGAGGTAAAATTTATCTAAAAATCCCTATACACTATCAGATCTGACAGTGCTTTTGGCTTATATAAGGCCACTGCACTAACTGTAATATTTGTATTGTTCAACATCACAAAATAAAACATTAACTTCTGTTTTGGATTGTTAAATAAAATAAGGGAAAAAAACAAAAACCATAAATCTTTTGCAGACCTAACTGAAGAGGCCGTGCAACAAAGCATTTACACTGGGACAGAAGATGAAGTAAAAGTCAGTCAGGATAAAGTGTTTTATTTCTCACCATCACTTCCCTGACAGATTTATTTTTTCCCTTTGCAATGTATCACCAAGGAGACTTTACATACATTATTGCAGAACTACAGCATCTCAAGTCAAAAATGTCACTACATATGAAAAAAATAGATAAAAAATAGCATGATAGAAATGTGACAGAATCAGGATAAAATCTCATGGCTCAGAAAAAAGCACAATGGCCAAGATTTCCAAAGTTGCCCATGTGTGAGGGGAAGAAAAGAAATTGAGCATCTAATCATATCAGATGAAAAATGAGAATCTGAAGTCAGTTCATTTCACTGCTTTCACTATTTCCTCAAAAGCTCATGCTTCCTTTGCCTTTCAATTAACCAAGCACCTTACAAAGCAGAAATGAAGGAAAAATAAGTAATTCTAAGTATTGTAAGAGGACCCTGAACCTAAAGCAAAGATCCCGAGTGGATCTGCATTACTGGGAAAGAAATACCAGAGTTTGAGTAATATCACTGCCTAATGGGACCATGTCTTTTGTAACCTATTTCGAACACCATGGCCTGGGAGGGCACTGTTTAACCCAGAACTCTCTAGACCTGTAGCCACTGATCAACTTTAGTGAGTCCCTTAGATGATAATACATTAACCTTTTGCATCCTCTCGTCTTTTTCCCCATTCTGTACTGTTGAGTCTTTCTGTATAACTATTAATCTCCAATTTCGATATGCTGGTCATTAATATGTCTAGTGTAACTCATAAGCATAAAATACCAACTTACTCATGAAAAGAGTTAAGAGAGGTCTGATCCAAAAAGCACTTGGATCAACAGGAAATTTTCCACTGACTTCAGAAGGCTTTAGCCCTGTGTATATATAAATATAAAAAATTCCCAATGCTTCATTTCCCACTGAATGATTAAACTTGTAATAAGACATGCGTTTTAAAGGGAAGCATGTGGAATTTTAATAAGTAACTTTGCTCAGTGCATCTTATGAAAAATGTAATTAGATAAACTTATTAATAGCTAAACTACACAATAGTGCCAAAGTAACTGTTCAATTACACCATGATAATTCCAGACTTCGGGACTACAGAAAGTTAGTGATCTTCAAATTATCACAACAGAGGAGAATTCTATTCTTTTTCCATCTTAACCAAACCATGTGAATGCTGCTTAACCTTACAAGGATACTTACAGTCTTATCTCTGCAGAATTCTTTCTAAACAGGTTTTGAAGTAGTTTCCACACTCCTGAGGCAAATTACAAATGAAATCCATGAAGAATTGGCAAGCAGCTTTCTTGAACTCTCAACAACTAATTATGTTACAATACCTTTCAGATGGCTTACACAAAATAATCTTCTGATACTGTAGGAATTGAGGCTTGGTAGAATTTCCCTGAAGGGCTTCGTTTGATATGCTTTGGGAGTCTCCTACATTGCACATTAATGCAGGAAACAGTTGTCTTTTTTTGTACTGCTTAATTCATTACTTTGTTTTACTTATGAACCTCCTACTCTCTAGTAATATAAAAATGTTTCATTTTCAGATTCAAACCCTGAATACTGGTTGCTGTTATAGTCAGCAAGTATGCAGCAATGCTTGGAGAGTGACTTACTGTACACAAATATGGGAACATTTAATTAAAACTTAACTCCTGCTGGTATCACAAAGTTCTCTTAAGAAACATTAAACACAAATAATTGAGAAGTAGTGGAGTGGTACTGTATTTGAACCATTAAACTGGGATTTGGCAACATTTGGCATTAGTAAATTGCCCAGGATTATGTAGTTAGATGGAAAAAATCGCAAAACTCCGTTTCCTTGTTCCCATTGCTAATAGTGACACAGACATTTAAGAGAAGCATTTTCTTGGTATTTATACTGAGTTAATGTCCATCAAATATAGAACAAGTTAATTAATACCTTACCAAGTTAAGGCATTTCATCCAAGATAGTTTTGTGCCTCTCATGCCAATGTCACTTGAAGTTTAAGGATGATTAAAAAAAAAAAAAAAAAGATAATTCATATATATCAGCACCGGGCAGTACATAGATGCCCACAAGTCCAAGGTCTTTATTTGGAAGATCTCTCAATTATGATCAAATTAAATTCAATAGACAGGTTTTGATGACTAGAAGTCATAATGCATATTAATGATACAGCAAAAAAAATGCTGTTATTGCTATTGTCTGCAGTAACAAAACCTGGGGCTAGAAAAAACACAATGTAAACACAGTTGCACCCATCCAGGTTCTTCAGATATGTTTATGGGGACTCAATGCATATTTAATTCTGGTTGTATAGTATGTTTATTGCTATTCTTGACAGGTATCTTCTGTTATCAAATATCTACTTAACAATTCTTGGGCAAGATCTCCTACTAATCACAGATCTATTGAATAGATTATTTCTTTTTATGAAAATAATAAGAACACAGAGCTAAAATGGTAAAGGGTGGAATGAACTCACCAGAAACCTGGCGTTTTCTATTTTGAAAATAGCAACCAAGCCAAGAACACCACACATGCATCCACAGCAAAGAACCTCAATGCAAACTTCCCTAATGGATCGTACAGTGCTCTGTGACACCTGCGAATCATTATGTCAGATGTGTTAGCCTGCTGCCAAGCTCCTAGGCAGCTTTTCATGGTTTCGGTTCTGCATACTACTCTCGCATTCACATTCCCCTTTTCACATTCACATTCCCCACATTCACATTCTCCTTCCTTTATTTTTTTCTCTGAGTTACTTCATTATCAAAGTCATCGCTAAGGTTTTCTAGGCTATCTCTACAAACCTCCATGTAATTTTGACAATCTACAAACATGAAGGATGTGGAGCTTTTTCCGATTCTATAGCAGTCCCCGCTATCCAACCCCACTTTTGCTCATAAGCACTAAATTTAATTCAAGGTGCCAAAATATTCTTAGATCTTCAGATGGCTGCTCACTCAATGGCTTGCAACACTCTTCCTATTCTGAGCTGCATGGAAAAGTATCGACAGAACAATTTCAAGAGGCAATTCATCTTATTAAAAACTCATTTTCATCTTGGAGCTTTGCCAGTATTTGGCGATGACTTTCAGAAGGAGAAGACTAATACATTTACTTTGCCTTTCATGACCTTCTAATATGCTGTACTTAATAATTTAG